ATCGACGAAGCACACTGCTGAGGGGAGCAGCGGGTGGGTCAGGAGAGGTCTGCCACACCATGTGGTCACCTCCAGGGCAGGCGGGAATCGAACTCATGCGGAAGTGGCTTTAGCTTCTCAGTGCAGTGCTTTAACCCGCTGCGCCACCAGGGAGGGCCCTTGAAGGATTTTAATGGGTAGAAAAATGGCTTTTTTTTCTACCCATGAACTGAAAGAATTAGCATGAACAAAGGTGTGGAAAGGTGAAAGTGTATGTTTTCAGGGAACAACATATCGTTATGTTTATTAATATGTTTTGCAAAGGACAAATGTTGCAACATGTTTGCAGGAAGATCTTTGTGGGGAAAAAAAGAAACCCATCCATGAAAAACTGGAGGACAGTGCTCTCACCTTCTTGCCTGTTTCATTTTGTTGGTCACACTTAGGTGAACACTGACCTTTCATTTTTCTCACTAAAAATTGGGCCCAGAGTCAGTACCCCTTGCCCCTTTTTATATTTCTCAAAGTCAGTGTCATAGTATGATGTATAAAATGTGGACTTGAGATTGTGTGGAAGTCCCCTTTCTGTGACAGCTATTGAGTATAACATGGATCAGGTATTCTGATTTCCTCTGAAGTCCCCACACACCACTCACCTACACAGGCTGAAGTTTAGGTTAGGACTCATCCAAATGGAATTTTCTTGGGGAAGGGAAGTGTTGGAAGGGAGGAGGAGGGGTGTATGGGATATGTTGGGGGCTTCTCTCAGGAGTGCTCATGGAGGAGAGCAACATCATCATTAGCAGTATCCTCTCTCCTATGCTTCTGTAACAAATGTTTAGAGGAAAGTGGGCTAAGAGAATTAGCCCACTCAAGAGATTGAGTGATTCTGATTGTTTTCAGTTGATTCTGTTTTGTTCTCAACATTTAAATGGCCAGTCAGATAAGAAGCTTCGTTTAGAAATTGACTTACATATTAATTTAAAATAATCCAAAAAAATCAAAATTTTCTATTGCAGTGATTCTTAAATGTCATGGGATCACATACCCCACTGAGAAGTTATCCAAGAACACAAACTCTCCCCAGAGTACACACCTATGTGTAATGATTCAGAGAAAACATTGGTTTTTTTTTAAAGATTTATTTATTTATTCATATATAGAGAGCTGGGGTACAGGCCAGAGATGCGGGAGGGTGAGAGGATTCACCAGAGACAGAGGGGAGGGAGCAGAACAGGCAGATCTACGAAGTACACCACTGAGGGGAGCATGTGGGTCAGGAGAGGGGAGCATGTGGGTCAGGAGAGGTCTGCCAGGAGAGGGGAGCATGTGGGTCAGGAGAGGTCTGCCTCACCCTGTGGATCTCCTTGGGGCAGGCGGGGATTGAACTCATGCAGAAGTGGCTTAAGCTTCTTAGTGCTGTGCTTTAACCCGCTGCGCCACCAGGAAGGGCCCCAGCAGCGAAGTTTTTAATTCAACACCAACATCTGGCACATAGGTGTGTACTTTGGGGAGAGTTTGTGTTCTTGGATAACTTCTCAGTGGGGTATGTGATCCCATGACATTTAAGAATCACTGCAATAGAAAATTTTGATTTTTTTGGATTATTTTAAATTAATATGTAAGTCAATTTCTAAACGAAGCTTCTTACCTGACTGGCCATTTAAGTGTTGACTGGTCATTTAAATTCCAAAGTGACATCACCACTTCCAGAATTTTAAAAGGCAGTTGTTTTCCTAGTCGTCAATCTGCTGACCTACTTGGAGCATAGGATTGGGTTTTGTGAAGAGTTGTTTTTGCGAGCATTAGTACTGTGCTGTGAATGCCCCTCTCCATGCTCAGCTATTGAGGACTACTGAGTTCCTTCCTCTTCACCAGGAGGGGCTTCTGGAAATGTGTTACATGTGCTTGAAAGAAACAAAAGGTTGGTGCCAAACCACCAGCCTTTGGGCCTTTGGGCCTTTGGGTAAATAGTGAGTCTGGGGGCAGCAGGACAGAGGAAGTATGTTGGAGAGTGATCTGTGGGTGACCAGATATGTGCTTTGGGAAAGAAAGATTTGTATAACCTATTTCAAATTGTATTTTCAATGGAACACTGGAAATGAAATGGGCATGTATGGGGTGGGTGCCCATATCCCAGGGCAGGGGCTGAGGCCACTGCGGGGATGGAGGGGTCTCATGAGTGACAGAAGAGTTGCAGGCAGAGGACTGAGAAAGGATGGGCATGCCATCCACCTGGGTAAAAATGTTCCTGACCCCTTGCCTCTAATCTCACTCTTTTTCACCCCAATGGAGTCCAAGGAAAAAGCCATAGAGTAAGGAAGCAGGTGCAGTTGGAAGGCAGAGCAGGAACTGACTATACTCCTGTATTTGAACTTAGGCCTTATTTGGGAACAGTGGAGAATGAATGAGTGAATGAACGAATACAGACTGAATTGTTGATTACAACGGGGGTCATGCATTTTTGTTTGATATCATTTAGGAACAATAGTGAAGTTCATGGTAGCTGGCCCATCCAGGTGCAAGTGCCGATTTCTGTACAGTCCCTTCTCTGCTGGCTATATTTTAAAAAGGTCAGTGGGCACAATAATAGCTTTGCTTTTTTGAACAAGTCACCAGCCCTGCAGTTATATTGTACATATGTCATAGGATGTAAACAGACTCCCAGTTTTGCATGATTGGCCCTTGGACTGCATGTAGAAAATGGGAACTACTGGGATTTATAAACAAGGGGAGGAGTTGGATGTTGGGAATGTGAGGAGAAAGTCTTGGGGGAACAGGAAATACTCACTATGCGGCCCAGTGCAAAATTTAACAATACTGCAACCTTGTTCAAGATGATTAAAAGCTTCAAGACAGTGACAAGAGCTGATTAAAAGACTGTGACTTCACGGGTTGCATGGCCAGGAAGTCACTTGGGTGAACCACAGACTTCAGAAGACAAAGGACCCTGCTAGGAGTTTAAAGAGGCATTTGGGAGGATGGTTTTGTTTTAACAGAGACTTTTTGCTGAAATGCTACGCATTATGATCCCCTCCTCAAGGTTCCGCAAATCTCAGTGCAACCACAGAATCCCTTATGTGAATGGATTTCTTGTAGAAGCTGGTGGAGGTGCTGGGAGGTTAAGACAGTAAGTCAAATATGTAAAGGGACAAATGATCTGGTCCTCTTCACCTAACATTTTCCATAAGTTTCAAGAGTTTATATAAAGAATCCTTGTTTGACATAAGAACTTGTTTTTATGTTGTGGAACATCAAGGAACAAAGTGGCCTTTGGTTTATTTATTAGTGTGGAAGAATGGTGCATATTTTCTCTATTGCTCAAAATTGGTGACAATCTTTGGGTATAGAGGCACTAAGTGCCTGACAGTGTGAGAACCATGGATGGGCAGGGCCAGGTTGGGATTTCTAGAGTGTGGCAGAGCCACACGAACCCCTGCCTGTCTCAGCTCGTGTCTCTCCCAGCTGTACGTGAGAAGTTAGCTTAGAGGAGGCCTGCTGCAGCTGTCCCTCATTCTGGAGGCCAAGCTGGAAGGGTTTCTAGACACTCAATCACTCGTAGAGTACTAGGTCCTGAAGGGGGACGGCAGTTCATTTCTGACAGCTGGTTTGCTTAGGCGTCACCCCCTTTTAGCAGGGCAGAGAGGAGGGGAGGCAAATGGGTGTAGCTGGGGGCATCTGGCAGTTGGCCTTGGTATGGTAAGGATGTCTGTGTTTTCTTTGGATTGTGTGGATGCTGAGAAAGTAGCTGGCTTGAGCTTTTTTTTTTTTTCCTGACAGTAAGGGAATATGGGGATGAATGGGGGTAGCTGGAAAAGAGCATGGCAGGTCTGGGGAGTGTGAAGCTGGGCATTGGGCTTCCTGAAGAACTCACTTGCAGAAAATGCAGCTTTAGACAGAGATGGCAAGACCCCACACACACACACATCGGCCTCTCCCTCCACCACTTTTACATCCTGGAAAGGGCAGGACAGGAGTGAAGGAGAGGTCACCAGCTCCCCTTCCACCACCCCATCCCACCACCATGCTCTTAGGTGAGAAGAGGAGGGTCAGAGAAGGAGCAGACCTTGTCCCCCTGCACTTCAGGAATCTCCAGCTAGCAGTCTAGCAGGCAGTGGGGGAAGGGAAATTTCGCTTTATATATGAGGTTAGCATCTTCAGCTGGGCTTGAGTAAGATTTTTAATATCAAGAAGTGACCGAGGAAGTTACAGAATCTATCCAGGGTATCATTAAGGGATCTCAACCCAGCAGGGAAAGGAGATTCAACACTGCCCAGCTGGGGGCAGGATGGGAGAAAAATAACACCACTTCTGGCTTATACTCTATGGAATTGAGACTGCTCAATAAACCTGCTATATTTGATGAAGAACTTCATATTGTTATGACGAAAGTTGAATCTCTGTACGTTTGTGTTGTGGTGTACAGTGTTCATCAATTCTTAGTTTTCTGAGTGATGGGATTTTCCTGTAAATCAAAGCTTTGAAATTTATTACACAGGAGAAAAGACACATACCAGAAAGCAAATTTCCAAATATAGAAGAGACCCTTAAAATGGCATCTGATGGTTACCTTTTTTATCACTATATGTTTTCTAAAAAATTCAGTCTATCAGAGGTTCACTGTTGATGCAGTAGAAAAAAAATGTGTAACAATCATGTCTCTAAGTCATTTGTTATTTATGTTAATTTGTCGATGATGTATTTCTGTTAACTTCTTTAATTTTCATCACAGTATTTGATAGACTACTCTTCTATTGAATTTTGTCCTTAAATGTAACTGTGTCTGATTTTTACATAGGACAGTCATATGGCTTCAGTCTTTCTTCTTTCTTTCTTCTTCCCTCCCCCCTAATCCCTTTACCACAGACTTCTTAAGTATTTGCAATGCTCTTTTTATTTAGACAAAATTATTTTATCTTTACAATATTCTTTGAATTGTTTTTTCTAACTGATCAAAAGATGGTAATGACCTTCCTTCCGTTCTGTTCTTTGCAGATTATATTCACAGCCTTGTGTCATCTTTAGGGATTGACTCCAGTTTTTTTCTGTTTCAATTCCACATCATCTATTTTCTTGAATATGAGTCTCCTAAAATATAAGCAGTACAAAAAAATGTCCTCACCCACCAGAATAATAGGATGTTAGCTCATATATAAATATAAACTGTGATTTTAATTGCTTACTTATATTTAGCGGACTTTTGTTGCACTTGAAATGAGTAAGATATCGATGGGACCCCAAATTTGAAATAGACATTTAGACTTACAAACTTCCCATTGGTTTAGCTCTCTTGCTCATCCCTGTCCTACTGCTATTGTCTGCTTGATCATTTCCAGCTCAGAATGATATCTCAGGACCTCAGCAGAAACATCAGCAATTCTTCTTTTCCTGATGAATAGCCTCCAGGCCTCTATGTGTTGCTTCTGAGTGCCCTTTCTGTTCCTCTCTCTTTTTGGCCTTCTCTCCTCTCCTCTTCATGTGCCCGTTGCTCTCACCAAGCCAAACTGCTTATGTTCTTGACTCACCATGCTCTGCTTTCCCTTTTCTCCCATCAGTCTCTGTTCACAATAGAGTCAGCTTTGCAAGTCTAACTTGTGAAACATCCCTGGATTCCCACATGAAGAAACAGTAGTTGTACTAGACCCTCCATAGGACCTCATTAATGCTACCTATTATTTCATTCATCCTGTCAAATATTGAGGACTTACCACTTACAGACACAGTTCTAGGCACTGGAGGTCTGTCAGTTGACACAAATTATGGGATGTATAGGAGTGAAATCCTATTAAAGGAGTGGGCCCTAACTATGTAATGTGCTGGATGTGGTTACATCCCATGGTGAAAAAGCAAGCCTTGGGGTGGCGGGGAGGAAAGAGGCAAACCAAGCCTGGAATGTTTTGTGAAGTCCTCACTGATAAGGTGTCACAGTTTGCCACTTTCCTTCCTTCAGGGCTTCATTAGAGTATCCTGTGCTACATTATAGGACTTTTTAAAAATTTATACTTTCTACTAGAAAATAATGGGTAGGTGGCTTTTAATTTTTGAACCTCTTCTCTATTATGATTTGTCCACAATAGATAATAATTAACACAAAGAGTGATTATAAATCCACTTGCCTATAAGATAGGAAACAGTAAAAGAAAAAAAATTAAAAGGGAGAAATCCTTCTGAATTTGAGACCTGTGTGAGTGTCCTTTGTATCTTGCCTATGGGAGGTCAGAGGGTGGACACTAAGTTATAGTCTTAAGTCGCACATGTCCTACTTAATGTGTGGTTAAGAGCAGTGAAGTGGATGCCCCTGTGTGGCTGAGGGGACACCCATCTCTCTACTTCATACTTATATTAGTGTTTACACCTGACTTTCTATAGTCTCAGTTTACATATATTTAGCTTCCTGTGTCTTTTCCTTTTTCTCTTTTAAGAAATGATGCTACTTAAGAACTGATTTTGAAAAGATGTAGTTCTTTGAAAGTTTTCTACCTCAACTCTATATATCTGCCCATGCATTTGAACTGGTTTATAAAGATTTACCTTGGGGGTTTCTGATGAGGAGTCCGGATTTCTTGGGGCTGGCAGGTCATCAGGGAAAGTAACTCAGTGGCAGATGGTGAATTCATGGATTGTTGGAGCAGGTCACTCAGTGTCTTGGTGATACTTGCTGTTCTACCAAACCTTTGGGGCAGATTAGGAACACGCCTCAAGATGCTTTCCTTCATGTGTCTTCCAAATCTCAGAGGCAGGTTGGCCATTTCCCCAGTGCTTCTTTGTTTCATGTTTCTCCCAAATCTCAACGGCAGGTTGGCTGCTGAGTGTGGCATTTTGTTGACTGCAGATGCACTCATCTTAATGATGTTTCCTGGTCCCCAATCTTTTAATTCTTCAAAATTGAGACTTCTTTCCTTTTTCCCTTTAGGGTCTCCTGTGGGCTATAATTAGAAATGACCATGAAAGTCATTTATCATTGTTCTAAAAAATAGATTTGAACCCTAAATTAACTTAAACCCAGACTTCAGTCTGCAGAATTGTTAAAGCTATAAGCAAACTTTGTGTTCACATGTGCAAATTTTTTAATAAATAATTTGTATTAAGCTTCTTAAAGCAATCTAGTTTCTCCATCCCTGGGCTATTGTAAGAAAACTATAAATTATTAATAAAATATGTATAGTGAATACAGCAATGTATTCAAGTGGCAGGAACATAATGAAGTACTGAAATGAAGCAGAAGGTTATTTTACTGCAGTTATTCTTTTTCAGTTTTTGATGCATGTTGTTATGAAATAGTTTACATAGTTTTATATCTTGACTTTAGAGAAACCTTCCACTATCTCTTCAAGTTTAATGTATTCCCCCTCTTTCACTATGGTCATAGTAGTTAACACTTAGAAACAAGATGCTAGCCAGATTTTTGGGTAGGAGGATTCAAGAAATTTCTTTACTACCTCCCAATATTCAGAGTTCCATTCTCAGAACACTTCTCAAGACACCATATTTTTATTAGCAAATAAGTTACATTGTTAGTAAAGTTACAATTGATTTGCAGTTTACTGAACTATGAGTATACCAACTTTTAAAGAACCATTTAAAATACAATTTTTAATTAGATTTAGTTTTACCATGAGTTTTTGTTCATATGAAGATTTTTAAACTTTGCAGGTTGTGTACATAATATCTACTCTTTTCAGCAAAGATGAAAATTATAGAAAAGCTTAAAGAAGAAAATAGAAATAACGTGCAGTCACATTAACTAGGAATAAAAATTTAATTTTGATATAGATTTACCACAAACATTGCATTATTTGCTTATAGTTGAAGACTACTCAAATGTCCATCTGCAGTATAGCCAGATTTATTTCTGCAGCTACTGATTACAGCTGTTTACTTCTGAGTCGAGATTTATTAATGTACCTTATATTTTCTAAGTTTCCGTTCTATATTTTCCGTTCTAAAATTTTCATGCTAAAAAGTATAAGTTACAGCATCACATTGTTATAGGAAGGCTGAAGCTTGACAAAAACAGCACCAATGATCTTATTCCTTACTTTTTACAAAAGTATTAGACTCAGGACCAATATTATGTGGTTAATGCTAGTCATGTTAGATAGAGTTAAGCCACTTACCTCAGGATATTTGCCATAATTTTCTTTGCTGTAAAAATTGGACATCATTAATTCATCTGCACAAAAGATTTTTGATGTTAACAGTGTCGAAGTGGCTAAAGTCAATAAAATAAATCGTTTGGATGAAATAACTTCCATTTTGTCCAATATCTAGAATTAAGTTTATATGTTTAACGCGATCTACAAGGAGGGTAGAATGAGCTTTTTATACTGTCTAAAATGAAAGGAAAGTTTGCCTTAACAGTGAAATCAATCCCACATGTTGTTAAGTACTAATATTAATTAGAGGGCTTAGCTAAAATATGTATGTAGGGAATGTGGGTAATTCATTCTGGGAAGACAGCAATTGCTTCTGTTTGCAAATTCATTCACTTTGAAAATAATTTTTCTTATTATGAAGGAGCTTCTAATTAGATAAGTTTGAGGTCACAGTAATTTAGAGTCCAAACAAACAAGAATGCTTCTTTTCTCCAAGTGCAAACAAAAATACTTTCCTTTCAGTGTTTGCGTCAATTCTTGGAAGAAGGAAATAACAGTATTCAATACATACCATCTATGTTAATTTTTTAAATCCATTCAAAAAAGCAAGGCATAATATTTTCAAAATGTCAGGCAAAATTAAGAATGTGAGAATTCCAAATCGCATAATACTCAAGTAAAATGTCATTAATTAACTTTTTGTAAATGCTATTTTGTTGTTAAAAGGCTTCAGGAATAAATGTCAGCAGCAACGCGAGGCTGTGCGTAAGACCATGCACTAGGCATTTTGACAAACTGGCTGTCTCAGGAGAAGCTGGAGACATTCAAGCCCTTTTGTATTAGCCCTTTGGGCCTTATTTGGCAAACTGTATAAATAATCAAGATTTTATTTCTGTGATGATGCTGCATCCTTCCTATCTTCTTAAAACCCTTCAAAGCTCTTGCAGAGATTTGGGAAGTGACATATATGCAAAATGTGTTGCTCCCCTGACCCGTATTATTTAGGTAATCTCAGAGTGCCACAGGCATAGTAACATCATGGTAGAAGAAAAGGATGCACAGAAACAAATGTTTATTTACTGAAATGCCAAAGCAGGTCTCTTGTGGAGTAGCTGAGTGGTATTCTTAAAGGCCTCCCTTGTCTCTAGACTGCCTAGGTTCTAGAGAAATCATGACTTGTTCTCACTTGTCCATTCAGCCCTCTCAAGAGAAAAAGACCTTACATTAATTGCTTTCAACATTAGTTACTTCTAGACACAGACACTTGGAAGTGAATTCACAAAAGAGCCAGTAATTGTACTTTTCGTGTCAAGAGTGGTATCTCTTGTAGCTTGTCTCACCAACCTGCCATTGGATAAGAGCATTAGGTATGAGATATACAGTGGGCAGAAGTGAAGATCTTTCGTGAGATATACAATGGGAAGAAGTATAGATCTCCAGAGTAAATCAAAATGATGAAAAACAATAGCAGGCAAATACTTGGGTACCACTTGGCCTCTGGTAAGACAATTGACATCACTGGCCTCGTTTGTTTTGGATTGCGGTAACCAAGCATCCCCACAGTAGGAGGCAATTAATTCAGTTCATATTCTGGTGTTAATTTTGTAACACTGTTATTGGATTATTTGGGTTTAATTTCCCTGAGGATTTAATATATCTCTCTTCCAATTTGTTCCTTCACAAACTGCTGATGGAACTTCCTTTTCTTGTGGTCAGTAGATCCAAACTTTTGAGAAATGGGTGAAGCAAGTTTACAACCTGGAAAATGGGGATCAGCCTGGGTCTCTTTCAAAATATGTTTATATCTAGTTGTTTTAAACATTAGCAGTTCACCCGTTTTCAGGGCTGCTACTTGGGATTTGGCACAATGATGAGGTTTTCTGACTGCAGTCAGCATCCTGAGTAGTTGATATGACTGATTATTCCCCTGCCTCCACCAGATTTAAGCTTCCAAATTTGCAGTGTAATTAGAGTTATCTTAATAATATAGCACTTGGCTCTTGTCAACCATCTCTTCAATTAGCATTGAAAACATTAACAGATATAAAACAATATTACCTAACACACAGCATGTAATCACTTTAAATCTTTTAATGAAATATCTGCCACAGACATAGCACATTTAGGAATTCTTGATTAGACATATGAACATAGAAATTTGACCTTTTTGATGTGTGGCTTCACTTATCAAGATTTTCGAGACCCTAAGGTTACTCCTGAATTTCTCTCTCCAGGTTGGGTACTCCTCCTGAGCATTATACTCTGCAGATATTCAGCTTCCTAAAAGAGAGTGCTGTTGGATGTCCCACAGTCATCTCAATTCCAGAATGTCCAAAGGAGACTTTATCTTTACAGTAACCATTTTCATTCCCATTTCAAGGAATAATACAGTATCAGTTAGAGATCAATCAGGAGACAGAAAATCCAGGAAATAATTAATTTGAAGAATTACTCATTGTGACAGGAGATTTTCTATAAAGGGTAATGAACCACTAGGGCCAAGGGCTTGACGTATTCCAGGAAAGGACAAATGGGAATTCAGACCATCCTGAGAAGGTATGGATGGAGGAGAAGATTGCTGGGTTACCAGGGCCAGAACCTATATACAATCACGAGCAGAAGACACCCTTCTGGGGTGCACAAGGGCCAAGGCTGGAAGACAACTTCTGGGTATCTAGGTATCTCTGAGACTTGCATGGAGTCTGCCGATGAAACTTGAGGGGGGTGAGTGCAACTAGATGGCCCCCACTTGTAGTAGTGGGTAGAAACACAAGCAAATAGAAGCATGCTTGAGCCACAAAGCATGCTTGAGCTTCTTCAGCTCCCTTTCAGTGCTTTCTACTGACAAAGCTTAAAGTTGTGCCAGTTGCAGTGGAAAAATCTTTTCTGGACCTGTCTATATTATCCCAGAGCTTGCAATGAAGTGTGGATTTGGAGCTAGGGGGCAATAAACAGATAACTAGCAGTTGCTAACATCCACCCATTTGTCTAAGTCAAATTTTTTTGTGATATTCATGATTTCTTCCCCTTTTTCTTGCACATCCCATTCCATAATTAGTGAACAGTTGTTTCTAGTTTTGTGCTATTACACTACATAATAATCAGTGCTTTCAGAGTGCTAATCAAATGCCAGGGACTGTTCTAAGTACTTTGTGAATTAATTTATTTATCTTTCACAATAATCCTGTGAGCAGGGACTATTTTTATTCTTACTCTACAGAAGGAGTAAGTAGCTTTTTTTCACCAATGGCAGAGTCAGATTTGAGCCAAAACACACACATGCCACTGTGCCAGTTTAGACAATCAAGTCTGGTTTCTTCTAACTTCTCAATAACTCTTACATCTGTTCATACCTCTTTATTCCCATTGCTGTTATCAGTCCACCATTCCCCTGTCTAGATCTTTTCTTGGTCCTCTTCAGTTCTTTGTCCATAGTGAAATTTGAAAAATTTTACAAACCATTGTACATAAGACTTTCTTCCTTAATAACTTTTGATGATTTTTCATATCCTTTGAGTCATTTGGCCAGTCCTTGATGACCTGTATTCTGTTTAATTATCTAGCATTATCTCTTGCCACTGCCTATGTCATTTGCTTGATGACAAGCTTCTTTTTATTCTTTCCAGTGGATATATTTTCTCTTGCCTGCAGGCCTCTGCCTGTGATTTTCCTTGCATGGAATATTCATCCCATCTCTTCTTTCCTTCTCTCACCATTTCATTGCTTGGGTCTCAGTTGAGGCACCATCGTGCAAGAAGTCTCTCCTGACTTCTAGCTCCAAGAAATAGCTCTTTGTTCTCTCCTGATCATGGCTTTTTTCACTCTGACTTGTCTCATTTCCTGGCCTGCCCCCCTCCAATGCTCTGCAAATATGTGAGAGCAGAACCTTGCTGGTGTCAATCACAGTGGTATTTCCATTGTCTATTTCACAGCTACTCAGGAACTTTTATTTCTAAATGAATGCATTTTTAAAAAATTAGTATTGGAAATAGGAGTTCAAACTAAAGTTTCTTGTTAATTGTTTTTCCCAGTCTTCCAAACTGTTGAACAATGTTTTCCCCTTGCTATGACTTATGCATTAGTAGAGCTTAAATTTGTGTCTTATCCTGAAATCATAACATCTTAATATTCTCTTGTCGAGGATTCACCTGTAGGACTTTCCAGATTGTGACCCATACAGGGGTAGTCAGGTATGAATAGACAGATGTGAGTTTAAGTTTATTCTGTCATAGTGCTGTATCTGATTTGGTAAGTTCAGGTAGCTCTTGCCAGGTATGGATTCAAAATAAAATGGACTGCATGATGCAGGAAGGCTTTCTGACGATGTTTCAGGTTCTCTCAACAGACAAACTTCATAGCCCTACTGGCTTCTCTGACTGAGGACAGAATAGGGTTCTTTCATTATTATTCCTTCATGCTCACTGAATGCACCCTAACCTCTGGCAAGTAGCTAGACTTGGGGGACAAATCACTTCTACCCATCAGCAGCTGAGCTGATTTGAGTTGGGCTTAGGACTTTGTAGGACCTTAGTATAGTTGTACTTTTGGTAAAACATTTAAAGTAAGAGGTTTTTATGGCACTGGCTGCACATTTTATTTATATTTTACAGAGAAAGACCAGCTCACTTCACACATTGATCTGTGCCCTATGAAGCCTCTGTGATGTCTACGAAAGAGGTGGTTAATTTTAATTTGCAGAGGAACCTCATTACAGAGCCCTGCTCCTTCTCCTCAAGTCAACAGTTTACTCCCAGGGCACTTCCCTTTTTATTGTCTTTTTTTCTTCCTTTCCTTCTAAGTATAATCCAGTTGTACTGTGCAGAAGAATTTATGGATATTATAGTGCTTGTTTGGATTTCCTGTTTGCAAAGTATTTTGCAACCATTTATTAACGAATTTCAGATCCTCTTTAGAGGTGGATGGTGATATTGCTGTATAATTCATTTCAGCATTGAATGTGCAAAGAGAAAGAAATACCTGCCTTGGTTCCAAGTAAAATCATTCTATGTAAATTGTATGAAATTATTATTTTTAAAGTGCGTGGTGGTGCCTGTGTTTCAAGATTTACGAGCGACTTGTTATAATGAGCCTGTCATATTTTGATAGCAGGATTGTATTTACTTCTCTGCTTTTTACAATGACAGATTACAATGCCAGAG